CCCTTTTTTTAAAAAAAAAAAAAAAAAAAAAAAAAAAAAGTTTGAATCTGTTCAGAATAAGGAAAGGTGATTTTGTGGTTTATGGCACTGGGTGGAACCCCAGAGACAATAGCGAGGTCTGTCATGGCATTCTGATCATGGCCAAGTCCCTTGGCAATCACTGTGGGTGCCGCTACATATGCAGTTAAGGTGAAGAAATAAACTCTGGAGCACTTCGCGCCAGACCGAACTGCTCGTGGGCACAGCGTCTATACATGCTTCTGGGACAACAGCACTTTTAGCTGGGGCAGAGCATGCCCAGACTGGCAGGGGGCACAGGAAGTCAGCCCTGGGCTCCAAGTAGCAGTGTCAGGCGGCAGAGGGGCTGGCTGGGGCACAAGGAGCCATGTGGCTAGGTGGCAGGGAGGAGTGTGGCCCTGCCCAGTCACTGTCTACGTGTGTGTTTCAGCACAGTTAAGTACTCTGCTGTAAGATAGTATTGTCTCTGCCAGTACTATCCTATGGTGGAGTTCATTCATTTACTGTACCCTAATACCAGTGAACATGCAGACTGTGATGCTTTAGCGTGGATCTAATTACTCACTCCACAGTTAAACTCCCATGTAGATGCATCCTGTGTTACTCAGTTGCAAACTGGGAATAGTACCTCCCTACCTCACAGAACTGTTGTGAGAATGCATTATTTAGCATTTGCGGGTACTGTGGTAATTAGGGCTAGGTCTCTGAAGGTTTAGAGTGAGTTTATTAAAATTGTTTTGCAAAGTATCTAAGTTATTTTTTTTTATAGATGTGATTCCCATTGGCATTTAATTCAACCTAACTTTTAGAGGGTTCTCTAACAAAGGAAAGAAAAGTTTGATTTTAATATTTCATGCTGTATATTCCAGGAGTGCTCAACTTCTGGCTTGCCCATGGTGTCATGGCATCTGGCCCATGGGACTCCCTGTGAGTCCAGAGATTTGGCAGCAGAGGAGTAGTGGCACCACTCCTCCACTGCCAAATCTCTGGACCCACAGGGAACCCCATTCCCCTGTGCTGGATCCGACACCCAGTCCCAGCAGACAGGGCCAGGCAGGAGCATTGTCGGGCCCCAGGACCCAGTCTTGGAGGGGCAGGTGGGCTGGAAGGGGGTGGTGCTAGAGCTCTGGGACCCAATCCTGGTGTGCAGGGAGTGGGAGGGAGCAGTGCCAGGCTCCCAGGGCCTGATTTCGCCCACAGATGGGCCCCACACCACATATCTGGCTCACAAGGCCAAAAGATTGAGCATCACCAGTTAAAAATCTAGTATGTATATTAAATTAGTGTAGAAAGATGCTCTTACAGAACCGGCCTGCCCCTTGGTAGATGCTTACTTTATAATTGGTATGGTTACAGGAGACGAAGCAATAGGAAGCATGCTGAAAGCTCTATGAGGCTTCTAAGTAGAGCAGGCTGAAACTAGGGAACTAGGAATACAGAAAGGAAGGTGTGTTCCTTTCCTATGCCTCTTGACAAAGAAAGGACTTAAAATATAACCAATTACTGTACGCTTTAGATGAAAGCTGCTACTAAATGCAACTGAACAAAGAATTTTCAGTTATAAAAATCAAAGCATTTTAAGGGATAATAGTTATTCACCCATCCTCAGAATTGTTACAATTTCTTTGTTCTCTGCTTCCCTACCTTTCCAATACTGAATTGTCTCTAGGTTTTGTTCAAATTGATCATTTGCGTTTAGATGACAGCAGGTATTCTGCCCCCATGACATGCTTTTTTGTATTCTCTTTAGGCCTTTGCAGAATATTTTACCCCTCGTCAGTTAACAAATCTGGTTCTGACAGCACTTGATGGTTTGACAGATCCCAGGGAAAAAATATCTCGGGCAGCTGGAGAACTGCTGAGTGCAATTTTGGATGAGCGTGGAGCTGATCTGGAGAAGGTAAGAGGTACTTAAAAGGGGTGCTTTTATAACTGAAACATAAGATGATTTTGCTGAAATGGTAGATTGCCATAATCCCACAATGCAAGAAGCAAGGATTTTTGTGAGTGATATATTTTCCTGAACCAACTGTATAGCTGAGTAGGACACAGACAAGCTTTTGAGTGCTACTACACCCTTCTTCAGGTATCCGAGGGGAAAAAACCCAGACAAACCAGAGCTAAATAGCAGGTAGAGCAAAAGCTTGTATGAAACTCCATATGTAAATAAAAGCAGGTTATAAGAGACATTATTAGGTAGCTAACAGGTAATTCCAATGTGCTTTTTTAGGAAAGCTGCAAAATAATTCTTCACTCTGAGTGAAGAGAAAGATGTGACCAGATCACAGGGCAAATGTGGTTTTCTCCAAGATGTTGGCTTTCCCTCCTATTCCAGTTAAAATTGTAGCTTAAGGTGCCTTATTATGAAACTGGAATAATGACTCCATAGCTGAACAGTTTTCATTATAGATGCAGTTCTGAAATCTTCATAACGTTTTTTGGGGGGAAAAAATTGTTTGAATTTTTTTGAGCTTGTGCCTGAGTCAGTTTGGCTTATTTATTACTTCTCCATAGAACAAAGGCACCAGACCATTTTTATTAAGACTAGATGAAAAATAGTGGGGTTGAAAGTGTGGAACTCTGGGAATTCTGTCGTGGTCTTTACAAATATTCTAAACACTTGGGGAAAGGCTTGAAGGCATTTATAAACCATGAGAGATTATCCTTAGAGGCTGAAAGTTCACTGAAGTGATATAGTTGGGTAAGAAGTAGGAGAATTCCCTTTACCCATCTAATTTTGATAATCTCTCATTACAAAACAAATGACCCCAGTTTAACATCCTTTTCCATGAAATTCAGCATGGCAGCTAATTTCCTGTGGTAGCGTGAAGCCTGTAGACAGAAGGGGAGGAAAAAACAGTTTTCCCTCTCCACTTTTAACAAGTTGCCTGATTTTTGTTTCTCTTGAAATGCATGCTTAAAGCCCTAGTTAGCTCCATCTAAGTGTGCACTGTGCAGAAGTTTCAGGAAGCTTAGATTGGTCTAAAAATGCCCAACCCTACCTCTGAGGTAGTCTAACGTAAATTGGGTTGGCCATTTTTAAACTGAACTTCTGTATAGTTCCTAGCACAGCCCCAGGGCTGGAAAAGACCAGTTGCTGGCCCCAGCCCAGGGGCTGCATTTTTCCTACCCCCTCCCTGGCACCAGGCTATTTTTAGTCATACCGCACCTCACCCTACCCCAGATGGACAACCCCCAAAACCCGCCAAACCTCCTTTCCTGCAAGCCACTACAAGTGCCAGTTTTATCAGCCTTCACCAATGCTGGGAGCCGAAAAGGTAGGTTGGGGCGGGGGAAGGAGTGGGAGGGATGGGGAAGTAGATTTGTAGGGGAAGGGGGAGCTGTTTGTCTGGGAATGAGGGGGGTTGAAAGGCTAAAAATAGTCCCTGGTCCCAAGGGGTGGGAGAGAGTCCACATTTCCCCATGACTTCCATGGACCCCGCAAGACCCCCAAGTCCACCAAACCATCCCAGATCCCACCCCCGCCCCCAAAGATCCCACCTGGCCCCCTTCCTCCCTGTCTTCACCCAATACCCTTGCAGACAGCACTTGTCCCCTTATCCCCATGCAGACCCTGCTAGCCCCCCTGATCCCTTCTGATCCTCTCTAACTCCTCCACAGGCTCCACCTGCCCCCTAATCTAGCCTCCCCATAACCTCCCGAAATGTCTGTACACAGCCACTGTGTTCTCTTCCATCAAGGCTTTATATTTCTTATCTGTTGCTTTCCCTTAACCTGAAATAAGATCTACGACTGAGATATGTTTGATATCCATATAAGAGGCATACTCTGTGCATATGGAGAGAGGGGAGGATTTGGTGTCCTGCATCTATTATTTCTCTGGGAGTCCCTTGCTGGCCTGAAATTGACCTGGTTTTGTGCTCCTTGAGAGAGGAAAATTCATCCTGTTTCTGACTGATTCTTACTGTGACACTGAGATTTAAAATTTGCTTTTTGTTGCCATTATGGGGAAACAGAAGAATTTCTCCCTGAGCCCAACATTTAACTTCAGACAGCCACCATGAGATAAAAGTCTCTGACTGTGTTTTTCTTACAGGTGGATGACACTTTGACTGGCATTTACAAGCGCCTCTGTCTCATTCAGGAGCCCAACACTCGGCAGGAAATGTTGAGGGCAGTGTGTTTCTTGGCTGGAAACAACACCAAGAAAGTGGTGCCTATCCTACTGGCCCACCCACTCCCCTGGGACAGGTACAAAGCTGGTAGTACCTTCACTGCTCAGATTTCTAACTGTATGTTCCTTTAGTCTCTTTGTCCCCGGGTTGTCTTATGCTCATTTTTCTTTGCACTTCCTCTTGTGATGGGCTGCAATTAGAGCTAGGTGAAACATAGGGTATGATTTTCATTTTAAAAAAAAATCATCCAGCATTTGGCAAAATTTGAAATTTTAGCAAAAACTTGATCAAATATGAATTATTTTACCAGCTCTCATCACAATAGATTCATCAATATATTATGAATTCTGATGTGCAATAACTGCTGATGTTTGCTTGGAAATGCTGCAACTGATGTTATCAGTAATGGAACTAAACCAATTTTATGGTACAGTAACAAAGAGCTGTGACATGGAACCTTTGTTACCTCTGTTTATTTGGTGAGGAACCCTTCTTGACTAGTCTTGGGTTTCCCCCTCACTCTTTAAAAGAAATAAATTCAGTATGTTCTAATATCTCTGGTATCTGGCGGGGGGCATTATACTGCCAGGGAGATAGCACATTTAGTGATGCAAGCTCAGAAATAAATATCGGTAGCCCTGGGTCCTTTACATAACCCTGTTGGTGTTCCATTCTTTGACCTTGAGCAAGTCACTGCAAATCTCTATGCCTTGATTACTTCAGCTATAGAATTATGTTTACCCACAAGATCCTGCATGAGTGCTGTGTCACTGCAGCACTTTGAGATCCTTTAATGGAAGTTGTTAGAAGTACAGACCACCAGTTTATCGTACTTCTTCATTCATAGCAACACAACTGCACTATGGAGGGTCCTGGGCACCAGAAGACAGACTACTCTTTGTGTTCTTCAGCTGCTAATACAAATCTTGGAGGAGAAGCCAGTCCAAAAAGATAACATCAGTATCTCTGATGATGAGACCTCCCTTCAAGCTGTTGCTGTAAGTAGTATGGTTAGCTACATTCCTTTGACAGTAAATGGTAGAACTGAGGACTTCTGTGTAGGGAAGGAAGGAAAAATGGAAACACTCTTTATTCTGACCAAGGCCTAATTATAGGTTATGCTAGCCTTACTTTTCCCTGAGCCCCTAAAAAACTAGATACACTTCCTTTCTGAGCCTTTCAGAGAGGCAATTTAGCACCCTCTGTATTTCATTCTGGAAAAAGAAATGTAACAGGGTTATATTTTACTCTCTCTAGGTAACCTGTGCCCTGTGTGAGATGCTCTCAGTCCCTGATTGCAGAGATGCAGTGCAAGAACTCTATCCCCGCCTCTTATTGGCAATGCTTGGTCACATCCAGAAAGTAATAGAGCAGAATCCACTAGAGAACATGGTGGTCTACAGGAAGGAGTGTGGCCAAGAGAACAGGCCCAAGGCATTTGATCCTACCAGGTAATCACTAAAAAGTCAAGGTTTTCTTTATCTATGTTCTAATGAGCATGGGGAAATCCCTGTGTAGTTTATGATATCATTGTTGTCATGCAGACATCAGCACTTGCTCAAAAGAGTACAAGGTTTGTATCCATTTAAAAAGAATGGAAAAAATGCATATATACAGAAACTAAATGCCACACCTGGGCAGTGATGATAGGGACCGAATGAGAAGTAGTTCTTTTCTCATTACTTCTATATTTCTACCTGGTTTTGTTAAACAAGTTCCTCTTCCTACTTCTGATCTCTGCATTCACCTTCTGTTACTACTCCACAGGGCTCTGAAGATTGCAGTAAATTATGTGGATTATTTGAGACTTTGGGTTTCTACTGCCTTGCATAGCTACTAGAAGCAGACTGATGTCACTCAGTGGGTGTGTCTACACATTCATTAATGCGCCATTACTACTGCACATTAAATTTAGTACCTCTAATATGAAGTACTAACTAAGTGCTCAATAGCTGGTGCTACTGTGCAGTAATAATGGTGCCCGGTCTTTGCAATGTTTAATGAGCAGTAGACTAATTCTACTATGCATTAGTTACATTAGCACAGCTCTTGCTGTGACATGCTAATGCTCAGTAGAATTAGTTTCCTGCACATTTAAGTATTTCGTGTAGATGTGCCCAGTAATGCTAGATTTATTTTGAATCTAGCTGTGCTCTGGAGGCTATGAAGATCTTGCTCTCAGGTGCTGGTTATTTTGAGGTGTTGGCCTACATGGAGGAACACAGAGGCTGGGACCTACTCTCCAGTCCCTGTGACTACTACTGTGGAATAATAGAGATCACAAGGTAAGCAACAAAAGCTATGTTATCATCTGGCATTAAGTTCTTCCTAGATTGGGGTTCTTCCCCCAGAGACTTGCTGTGCAGCTCATTTTCCCATTGTTAACCCATGGATTTGCATATGTCCTGTTGCAGTGCCATGGTGAAGCATTTCAGACCCCTTCAGCTGCATAGAATTTTTAAAAAACTGATCCCACTACTCAACAGTGAAAATGAGCATGATAAGGTTATGTCCAGGGCCTTCTATGCACAGGTAAAACTCTTTTCACTGACTTCATGCTTATACCAAAGATGAAGGGGGTAAAACCTGTAAAAGGATTCAACAGCTACGGTTATGGGTATAAGAAGGATTCTGTTTCACCAAGGTCATATTAAATTTCACTTGCAGTTTTCATTTTCCAGTTACCAATAGACATTTCTATTAAATGACACCTGAAACAGTGAGAATCACCACTATTTCCATTTCACTTGGCAAGATTTTCTTTTAGGTGTCAGCATGAGTCTAATCTCAGAACCAAATGTTTAAGCCAGAGTTCAAACTGGCTGATTTAAATCTCTGTGGGAGGTATGGATTTTCTATACCTGTAAGAGTTTATTTCCCATAAAAAGTAAATTTAGTTGTGATTATATATGTCCAGAGAATAAAATGAGAAAATCTGTTATTAACTGCTGATGTCTTTGTTTTTGTTTTTGTTGTAGCTTCTCTGGCACCGTTCTGTGGCCCAGAGTCAAGAACTCGACATCTTAGCCCCACTGAAAAAATGGACCCAAGAGACAAATCCTATCATCAAGCTGCTGGGACTCAGAGGAATTAGTAATTTAGCTCTCCATCCAGGGAAGGTGAGAGACAGTTTATTTGATTATGATAGAAACCCAGATAGAAATTATAACAACATAGAATTAAATGCCAACTAATGCCCTGAGAGCTAAGATGCTGATACTAGTGGCACTGAAACAGATTAAAACGGAAGTAGATTTGATAATTGCTCAGGGAGAACAATTCAGAGAAGCTCCAATACAGCCTAAGGCAGAAGAAAAACATATCTTCTGATTATAAAACACACATCAGATACGAGTTAAAACCAGTGATTCTTTGCTATTGCTGTGGTGATACTGTAATAAACAATATTCTAAGATAATATAGTATGTGGCAAATTGTTCTGTCCCTGGTAATTAATAAAGAAAATGAGATGAAAAAGTCCATTCATAAATTTACTTGTGACATTTCTAATTAGATTAGGTGGTATTTATGGTGTTGCATATAAACACGAGATGATCACCTTCACCATCCGCCGTAAAGCTGGTAAGTCAGTCAGCAACACGGAAGTCCTTGACTTCAGGAAAGCCAACTTTGACAATATCAGGAGGCTTGTCAGTGAGGCCCTAAGGGACCATGACCCCAGGGAGAGGGGAGTTCAAGAAGAGTGGTTTCTCCTCAAGGGAGCGATCCTCAATGCACAAGCTAATTCGATTCCATCTCAGAGGAAAGGCAGCAAGAGGGCACAGCAGCCCCCCTGGCTCTCCAG